TATGCCCATGATCCCAATAGTTCACCCACACTGGTCCCCACAACATTGCATAATGTCCTGTCCCACCACAGAGCTTCTGTATGGTTTCTGGTACTCCTTTGTGATCTTGCACCTTGATACTCATAAGGGTTTCCTGAGATGCAGAATCTATGACAAAGTTGCATTTTTGGCCATACACCTTTCCTGTCACGTAGACACTATGTGTGCTTGCCATTTTACACTTAGCTGTTGGGACTTTCACAATGGGGGTTGTTGGGCATCCCTCAGCACCAACCACTACTGGTTTCCCCGAGGCTGACTTATTGGTAGTATTGTTCTTACACTGGCTCCTCATATGTCCTTGCTCTCCACAGTTCCAACAAACTTTCTAGGTAGCAGCCTTTCCTGTCATGGCATCTTCCTTGTGTTGAAGTTGCCAGCATTAAGCATTGAGTATTTCCAGTGGTTGTCCCTTTAGGCTCGTTGCCAGGTACACTGCTTTCTGCACCTCTGTCCATCCATTCATTTCTGCCAGGAGCTCAAATTGTGTTCTATATGTTTCCCATGGTGCCTTCCCATCGAATTCCTGTGGCTTTCTTCGTACTAGATCACCCCTATTGCTGACACTCATGTCTGGAATGTGACTTTTGGCAGGACTGAAGATGTCTGCATTCGGGTTTAGCTGCGGGATCTGGAAGGGGCTTCCTGTTGTCTGGGGCTGATTAGGTCCATGGTTAATATATCCTCCCTGTGTAAAAGACAATAAATCGTTTTTTAATGTATTTAATTCACTTTGAAATTGACTAATCTTTTCCATTTGTGTATGCTGGCTTTCTCTCAGCTGTTGAAGAATTTTTTCTTGTTCATTTTCTTTCTCCTCCAACCACTGCTGTAGTCTCTCTTGTTTATTTTATCGTTCTTCTTGTTTCATTTCTTTTTCCTCCAACAACTGCTGTAATCTCTTGTTTATTTTGCTATTCGAGCTGCCACTGTTGCAGGTTTTCTTGCCACTGCTGTTGTCTCTCTTCTTGTTTCTTTTCTCGTTCTTATTTTTTTTGCTGTTCTCGTATTGCTGCCATCAAATCTGCTAAACTTTAGTTTGATTTGCCACTTCTCGTTTCCATCTTCTTTTTTTTCCTTCTGTCCCACTGTCTAATACCAATTTGTTGCATATCTGCTTGTTTGATAATTTCCGGTAGACATTCTTTCAAAGGAACTTCAGTGATACAAGCCCCTTCTTGATTAAAACTAGTTTATTCTCTCTCGATACAACTTTGTAATACACAGTAATTTCCCAATCAATACGTTTCTCGTCTCTTCACTTAACAACCTTTATAACACACGCTATAAATCACAGTGATTCACACACTTTACTTCCAGTGCCTACTGTTCGCTTGACTCAATTATCTATCTTCGATCCTGCTGGTTTTTTTTGCTAGGCTTATATACTAAAAAAGAGGGCGTCTAGCAAACACTCGGAACTTTCGCAGGG